TATATATATATATATATACATATATCAGATAAAGATGATTGGGAGAATATAATTACATTTCCTCTGTTGATCTGTAATGATGCCAAATGGATCGTAGGAGAAGAAAGAGTGGCACTTGTCCACCAGATCTGTGGAAGAGGCAAATATAGGTTATTCTTTGAGCGTAGATGGAATCGACGAGCGCTAAACTAACAGCCGTTGATTATTCTTCTTAAGATTCGTGTAAATATGGTTTCGGTTAGTTGACCGTTACTCAATTCTTTTTAAATTTCTTTTCTTTGTCTCGTATAGCAACCGCAACCACTTACAAACAGTTTGTTAAAGTGCTGCACAGCTCATTTAACGTACCGAGATGTTTATAGCCTTGTGGGGTGACATATGGAATCAGACTGATCATATTTGTTTCTGAATCACAACTGAATGCCAAGTTTTGGCATATGTCTTGATGTCTTGTGTTTAGAACTTTACTGTTGATATTATTGAAATACAATGGTGGTCAAGCTTATCGATTACTTGTTTATGTTGTTCTCTTAATATTTTAAGTGAGTGACTACAACTTATAAATTCTTTCATAAAAAAGAATGTAATATATTCAATATTTAGAAAGGTGTCATGATGCTCATCATATAACACATAAATGAAGAATTCCAGCCGGGCATTCAGAATATGCTTTGTAATGGGGTGATATTGTAAGATCATTATTGATAAATTAGCATTGCATGTGGATAATTGGTTGTAATGGGGTGATAAAATAAATGGGTTTCTTAAAGCCATTCCCGGTTAAGGGATATATGAAGAATTGTACAATTCAAAGCCCGTCATCTGGCCTATTAGGTGCCTCACCATATCCATTAAAATCACCTGTCTGACTAGTCTGAAGAATTGACCTGACAGATCGACCAGCTTCTAGGAGCTGATACACTTGTTGGACCCACCTGTCGAGTTTGCTCTGGGCGGTGATCCTCGGGATTGATAAGGAGACCAAATAAGGACCATCATTAAAAGGATTGACATATGCTTCATCACTATTTATGAGCCGCCTAACATACGCGTCGCAATCTTTTCAGCAATACATCATGAGAAGATTTTGTAATGTACAACTCATAACTTTATATTCTTTTTTCCTCTTTAATTATTGAAGGAAACAAGAGAAAAAAAATAGAGAGGAGAATTGGCCTCTGGGCCTCTCTCTCCCTTTCTCTCTCTCGTTTGTAAGGAGTTAGATTACTCCTCCGACCTATCGGGAGAAGATCTTTGAGAAAATGGACAATCCAAGCCTAGAGAACTTCCTCTTTTTTCAACCCCCATACAGGTCTCTTTCAGGTGTGTGAACCCACAAGCCATATTGGACCCTACATCTTAAAAGGATTTGACAAGCATATATCTTGAAATTATTATCTTTATGTTCAAAATGTGATAATATTGACATCGAATATAAAGTGAGAGAGGGATATGCAACTTTCCAATAGAATATTTATCATTCAATTCAATGAAATTTTTGTACCGAACATTTTTCTTACCTTTTTCCTCTATGCAATTTTTCTTTTTTTTCTTCTGCTCGTGATCTTTCCTTTATCGTTGTTGATTTCCCGAATCGTAATTTTCTTTTCTTTTTTTTTCCTTTTCTCCTTGTTGCCTCTTCTTGCTGCCTTCTCGTTTTAACGAGCAACAACACTCTATAAGAGGAGAAGGCTCTGACCAATCTTCTCATCCCCCCTCTCTTTCTCTTTCATTCGTCTGCACCGTCTCCATCATTATCGTCCCCTTCCTTGAAACCCTCCTCTACATCCTTTCTTGGTTTTGGTCGAAACCATCGCCTTCGTGACCGAACCTCTCCGCGATGCAATTCCTTGTGGATCTTGCTTGGAAGGCAACAACGGGATCACAGTATACAGAGACCCAAAACTTCCATTCTCTTCCTTCTGCTTCGCTCCTACTCGAAACTGTCAGAGAAGGATTTTTGGTGGAATCATCAAATTCTTAGGAGTATCACGTTTTGCCTCCTCAAAGTAAGCAATTGGAGGATAAACATACCATTCGTAGTTAGGGGTGCTAATCCTTGTTAACTATAGTAGATGTGTAGAAAGTCAACATGCCTTTGTTATTTCAATTTGTACTTGTCATAAATGTTAATTGTTGTTCATGATGATACCACTTGCCATCTTAAATTATTGATGCAAAGTTCGTGCATTTTTATATTAATCTTACAGCATTATATTTTCTTTTTCCGTACTTGTATGAATTTGGATATGTCATATCTTGAGCCTGCAGTAAATGTTATAGTTTTAACATGTTGTACATGTGGAAATAATGTGTGATGGTATAGAGATCGATAGAACCCTTTTGGATTTTGGCTAGCCGGGCCGACGGGCCCAGAGAGTGATGACTTTATAGGAAATTGCAGGATTTCCTTGGGTTGATATTTGACCTTCCCGGTCTCAAGGTATTTATTAAAACTAGCTATATAAATATAAATGAAAAACATGATAATAAGAAAATTTATTGTATGTTTTTCTTATGACATTTAGGTATATTTGATTTATCAGTCTCTTTTTGCTTCATGATTATATATATATATATATATATATATATATGCATGAAACACTCATCTTTATTTTTTGTTCATACCGCATGGCTTATTCCTCTTACCTTTTATACTTTAATAGATAGTTGCTATTTACCGAGTTTATGAAACTCATTCTTAATTTTTGCCTAACAAGTTCTATTCAGTCACTAGTAGAACCGTCTCCCATAGTAGCTAGTTTTTTTAGTTTTAGTTTCCCAATTTTGGTATTTTCCTTTGTATTTGTTTCTAGCTTTTATATTTTTCTTTATTGGGTCTGGGTAGTTGTTTTATGTTATCATTTATATTTTGATTCAGCGAGTTTTTTTTATTTTCAATCCAGTTGTAATATTGAACTTTTAGCATTAATAAAATTTACATTTATTTTTATTTGCAATACAAGTAAAATACAAAACAAGTTCAAATCATTTCTTCATGCTCCCCGTTGACAGGTTGTACCGTCTTCTAGACTAAGGGTGTGACAATTTTTTATTCAAGATTAAGCATAATACATTTAATTTCTCTTGAGGGACTGGATTTCGCTTATTTGAGTGATATATCATTTCTATTTTTTTTTTAATTTATTGTGCCTAATGCTAAAGGGTAATGAAAATTTGAGGCTATGCATGACTAAGTCCTATCATAAAATGCAATATTGCAATTTTATTTTCTATTGAAGATATTGTATAAGTTTCAATTTTTTTAATTATTTTTTATTTTTTTTTACCTTATTTCACTTATTTGAGCATACATAAACAATTATTATTTGTATAATATTTCTATGCTTAGTGATGAGAAAGGTGCTTTTCTGGACAAAGTGATCATATTTCAATAATCACAATAATAAGAAATTGATTTTTTCAAACAGTCTTTATTTTAGCGCTTGAGCCCGATAGGATTTTTTCGCCTATGCTTCCCGCTCCCGCCTTTCGCTCCCCCGATTGCGAATCGTCGTGATCCAGCCTTCTGCGAATAGCTCCTGCTCCCGCCTCCCGCTTCGATCGTGAAAAGTCACTATCCTTCACTGTTTCACAATAACCGTTGTTCCCGCCTCCTAGATCGCGAAACGATGCCGCCTTACGTCACTTTTAAGTTGCGAACAGAAGAGCTCTCCTTAAGGTTTTCAGAAGTCACAGTTTTTGTGTTCTTCTTCGGGCTTCCTCGGGATAGAGGAAGAGAAGTGCAATATATAGTTCCTTGCGGTGAAGGAAGAAGAAAGAAGAAGAATGTTATTCTCCTGTGGCTTCTTCTTGGTGGCTTGTGCCAGAAGAGAAATTGAGTTTATTTCTCTTGTAAGTTTATTTTCTTCGGTATATATCGGTGTAGAGT